CTCTCTGCTCTCTCTGCTCTCTCTGCTCTCTCTGCTCTCTCTGCTCTCTCTGCTCTCTCTGCTCTCTCTGCTCTCTCTGCTCTCTCTGCTTGTCTACATTCTCTGTAATTTATCCTACGAAAAAAAGTTGTAGGGCAGATGGAGTCACTGCACGGGAACTGTACCTTAGTGATGGGAATTATACAATGATATTTGATGATATGAAATTCACTGTCAGATGAACGGTTACAGTCAACAAAAACTCGGTACCTGGTCTCATTGATTACCTACATGTACCTTTCACACGCCATGTGGGTCGGTCCAGACACAAGCACACTGCCACTGCAGCACATCACAGTACCAGTAGAAAGCCATCACCACAGCAGCTGCCAGTGAGAACAGATGAGACTACCTAACCTAGGCACCTTATCAAATAAACACACGCAAAGCCTTCTTCCACCCACTCCTCCCCCTTTCTGCAGCGATTTCCAGACTTCCCCTCCTCACACCCGTGGTGACGTCCATCTCGGAAGCACGCACAAACAATTTCCACTGGCGAGAATAGATTTTCCAGAAAATGTACAGGGCAATGACGACGGGACCGGCCAAAAAGTTCTCAAAAAAGACTTTGGCGGTGGGACTCGAGCCGAGGGGAAACAGCGAAGTGTAGAAGGTGGCGATGATGGCGATGCCGTTGAGAAAGACGCCGAGATACGAGCCGACAATGCCAAAGGCCGCTTGGTAGGGTAATTGGTGCTTTGTGAATCCGTGGGCGTACCTAGACAGTGCCCAAAGGTCAGTAAGACAACAACCACAATTTGAAAATAAGAACAATCTCGAGCTCCTTACCATCCATGTCGGAATCCTAAAGTTGGACAGAAAAAGTTAGCCATTGATCCATCTTCATCTTTTTCTCCGTTCCCGTTCCCACATGACGCGAGAAAAGGGATGGAGTGGGCCAACTTACGAATATGTGACAGATTGATGCTAAACCATAGAAAGAAAAAGCTCAGGCCGGATAAAGCCAGCAACCAAGTAAAGATGGTGCCCGAGGCATGGGCTTCGCCAATATATGCGAGACACCCGAACAGCAATTGTACCACAATACACCAGACCGGACGACCCTTTTTGTCGACGTACATGAAGAACCTGGGTCCCATACCGCGTGCGGCAAGAGCTTGCATGGTTCGAGACGAGCCGTATGTGCAACTGTTGGCAACGGAAATGACGGAAATGGTAATGACTGCATTGAACACGGACGGCAACCCCTTGACACCGGCATATTTGATGGCCAGGACGAAAGGCGACGCTTTGGTGTTGGCGCCACTGGCACCTAGCAGATCGGGACTGTTGGACGGCACGATCAGGCCGACAATGAACAGCGAAAGGACGTAGAAGGTGGCGATGCGCCAAAACACCTGTCGCGTAGCCTTGGGCAGAGACCGGTGAGGATCTTCGGCTTCTGCAGCGGCCAATCCGACGAGCTCGGTACCGCCAAAGGCGAATGCGGCTGTCACAAAGACACTGATACGGATTAGCATTGCCAACCCAAGAAACTTGTATAGTGCAGTTCATACGTGCAAAACCCTTTGAATCCATTCTGGAACGCGCCCGGATCATGCCAGTAATGGGCCCCAATATATCCGCGATGGTCGGTCGGTACACCACCACAGTCGACGACAATGCCAAAGATAATGAATCCGATACAAGCTATGATTTTGATCATGGCCAGCACAAACTCAACTTCTCCATACCCTCGGACTCCAAAGACTTGGACGATGCAGAGAAACACTAGAAACACCGTGATCCAGACACTGACGTGGATGTCGGTTCGCCAGAATTGGATGGTAATGGATGCAGCCGTCAGCTCGAATGGCAACACGGTCAACCAGCCTATTGCATAGTCCCATCCGACCGCGAATCCGAGAGCGGGATCGACGAACCGAACTATATAGGTGTAAAAGGCACCGTTGACCGGGAACAGGACCGTCAGTTCGCCGAGTGCCTGCATCGTGCAGAGTAACATGAACCCAACGATCATGAAGCCCAGCAGCACACTGCCAGGGCCACCGGTGCGCAGAGCGCCGCCGGATCCGACAAAGAGACCTGCGCCGATAGAGCCACCTTGAAAAACAAAAAGGTTAGTTTGTGAGATAAAACGAACAGACCGAAAGCCCAAGATGGCATTGCATACCGATTGCAATCATTTGCATGTGTCGAGACCGTAGCTTTTGAGCCAACGGATTATGCTGTTTGTTCACCGGATCCATCTCATCCGCGTATGTGATCTCGCCTGCCAGCTTCTGCATCTTGGGGTCATTGAGCTTCTCAGGATCAATATCGCGCCCGATTTCATGCGGTCCTGGAGAGCCTTCATCAGGCGCCACATGCTTTTCGTCGTCTAAATGAGCCATATTGAGCCAAATCAAACGAAGGCCGAGAGGACCGTGTATGGCAATGCAGTGTTCGAGAAGCAGGTGCAGTAGACAGAATGCGTCAAGTTTTGGGGTAGCAAACAGACAAACAGCGAGTACCTTCCTACATGTACTTGATTGGGGCCGACCTTTAAGCCCACTGCATCACTTAGACCTGCAACTGACACACCACCGCAAGGGAATTATAGTTCAGTTGTCCGCGCAGTCACGCAAGGTTGTGATTGGGGAAGGGCAAAGGGAGATACGATGACACCGTAGACGGAGCTCTTCCCTGCACAGGGTGAACGGAGGCGAAGACAAGCCATGAGAGGCGCAATGAGCACTGGTCAGGCAACAGGGATCGAGAGCGATAAGAAGATCATCAGATCGCTTCGTATACTGGCTGAGAGGGGAGAGGCGTCTCTCGCGAAAAGGGAGCAGGATGGCATGGCAGTGACGGTGTCTCGTTATCAAAGACCCAATCGACTGGAGTCGGTGTTCGGGGATCACTTCAAGCCTGTTCTGTATCTGCCAGTGCCAGTGTTCAAGTTGCGTTGCACAGGCAGTTCAGTTCGATTGTGTGGGGGAAGCGGCGAGCGCAGCCAACGAAGTTCCTGGTCGATAGCAACCAAGGGAGAAGGCAGACAACCTTCTCGCTTCTTCAAGCCAACCATCGGTCGCCGATAACCATTGGCACCTCACACCTCACAGCTCGTCCGCTCAGACGGTGCCAGTGGTGGGCAGATCTCACCCATGCAATACGCAGTGCAACATCAGCTTCCGCTTTGGCTTTGACCCTGCTGCCCATGATGTTGGTGGCGATCTCGTTCTCTCGTGTGGTGCGGGTGTGACAGCTCCCCGGTTACGTAAATGGCTTTCGTCAAGCTCCCTAGAAGCTTTGGAGAAGCACTCTAGACTTTCTGACTTTCAGGGTTCAAGCATTCGCGGCAGTGCCAGTGGCTAATCAGATTTTCAGCAGACCGGCGGCTGAGCGCGTTCAATCAGGGCAGCCGATATTGCTGCTACTGGATGAGTGCAAGTGCCTGAGCGCCCGTTCTCTTCTGGCTCCGGTGTCACGTACCTGGTCCTCCTCCGCATTTCGAGCATAAGCCGCCGTAACGAGACCAGTTGCGTCAGGCAACTTGGTCAACGAGGAACTCGACTGCTGGGTATGGGGAGGTAGCAAAAAGCATATCGAGGTGGATCAGACATGGCGGTTGGAGCTTCACCAAGCACTAATTAAACTGCCCATCGAAAGACAAGTCGAAACGGTACATGTGGGCCGTCTCCACCAAGATAACGGATACAATAACTCGACGACTCTCAGCTGCTGTCACCCGTGTGGTTTTTGGATGTTCATGGAGAGAAGCATTGGGTGATAACCGTGATGGTGCTTGAGTCTTCGGAGAACTGCCCAGGACAAAGGTGATGCGATACCATTCAAAAAGGGAAATGCAGTTTATTACTAGTATGGGTTCGAGACATCCTTCATACATTTAAAAGAGTACGTAGTACAAACTCCATTGTAACTCTGTCATGCTTCAAGACGTCGTGCGGCCGTATTGCAACCTTTCAAACGCCCCAAAGACCAATGCCACCGATGTCAATCAAACCAACCCAAACACCAACACCAACATTCGCAAGCCATGATGTTTGATCAAAGCATGGTGTATGCTCACTCACGAACCGCCGCCTAGAAATTCGCAAATGCCAACGCCGATGATTAAGATGCCTCCATATTAGTAGTGCCGTGGTCCGTGGCTCTCGCGCCAATTCGTGATCTCGTGGTTCAATCCATGCCAGAACAAAATCAACAATATGTGTAAATCAACAGCAGCCTCCTCTCCTACGGGCCTCTTCAGGGTCCCGTGTTCCATGTCTTGCTCCTCCACCGTCCGACTCTCCAAGCCCGACGCTCGGTAGTCCGAGCCAGCTTCGTCGTTTGTCGCCATAACCGACTCTAAAACTGCCTGAATGGGGATGATGCCCGCCAAAGTAGTCATCACCAAGATCGCTGCGAAAGCCGGGAGTTTGCTGCAACCGAGACATCTCAGCGGCATCTCTTTGCTGCTTCTGCTCGATTAATTTGCGGGCAATGACCCGGAAGACTTCTTCAATCCCTTCTCCATCCTTAGCACTCACTTCATGGCAGCTGTCCCAGCCAATGTCTTGATTCCAGAAACCTGAGCTTCGCTTCGAATCCGGACTTTGAAGTGTGACGTTGCCTGGCTTCATGGTCAAGGGTGGTGTTGAAGCTGTACTCTGCGCCGTGACCCCTCCCAGTTGCTCGGCCATATAGGCAATCGTCCTCTCAAAGGTAACCTCCCTGGTGGAGGGATCTTCTGCGACGATGTCGCTCTTGGTTCCCACGACATGGATTATGGGCATGGCCTCGCCGTCCTCGCAGTTGGCCTTCATCTCTGCCAACCAAGTCTTCATCTCTTCCCAACTCTTCTCATTCGTGATGTCGTAGCATAAAAGGCCCGCATTCGCGCCTCGGTAGTAGAGTCGGGATATGCTTCGAAACCGTTCTTGCCCTGCAGTATCCCAGATCTGCAAGCGAACAGTGGTCGAGGAGTCCGGGTCTGTCAGTCGTTTTGTCACAAAGGAGGCGCCGATGGTCGACTGCACATTTTTGGACAATTGTGCGCTCGGATTGATGAAACGTGAGACGAGGGAGGTTTTGCCCACGCCTTGTGCCCCCAGCACTACGAGTTTGGCCTCGATCGACGTCGCAGGCACGGGCTGAGGCGCGGTGGTTGTGATCATGGGCGGAGCGGCGCTCATTTTGCTATGTGTCGAAGGAAAGGAACGAAGAAAAGGGAAGAAATCTGTAAGAACGTCGCAGGTTGTATTCTACCGCATTCTCGCGATCAAAAAAGGCGTTGCAGTAGCGACCCTAAAGGTATGATGCCTGCAGTTACTGAGTCACGAAGGTTGGTTAAATGAAGCGCGCTGGAGGGCTGTAGTTTGCCTGATCTGAATGGTGGTGGTCAGCCTGGACGGAAAATCACAGTCAAGAGCGAGCATACGGAAGCAATAAGAAAAGCAGAGCACAAGAAGGAGAGAATCGTTGAGAAATAGACACTTCAAGTCGAGTTCAAGAGTAGGTTTGTAGAAGTTTGGATAGAACGTGCAGAGTTCAACGCAGTTTGGGCCCGAGTCAATGAACCTCGTTGCTTCTGCTGCGCCTACATCGAGTTTCATGTTGTAGACTGCAGTGCATGGTTCGCGTCAAACCCCCCCACCAGTTCGCAATTTCCACGCCCAGACTCATCGTCGATCGTTATGACTGCTCAGCACGAGCCGCGAAGACCAGCGAAGGGAGGGACACAACAAATGCACATCACGAGGACACGCGAATGTTTGTGAGTGCCTAAGGTATCTACAGTCCAATGTTCAGCACGGTGCAGGCTATCACATATTATACGCGACAGACAGTTCACCTTGCGAGATGGGGTGCAGTTCCAGTGGTCTTCTCCATCCGATCGGTGGGAGGATCACGTAGATGCTGACATTCGGTACTGGCCAGTCCCTTATTGACACGATGGGTTCTTGATGCCGAAGATCGTCTCCGCTATCCCACGTCTAGAAACCGTCTATGATGATGCATGGAATGTTATGCAATGGCGGCTACTGCGGGTTGGCAGCACCGCAATTTGCCCGTTCGAAGTGCCGTCTGTACAGGCGCAGGAGCAGGCGCAACAATGATGCCCCGAGCCAGGGTTTGAGGGGTTCGCACCCAGACCAATACCCAGGCTGTTAGGCGTTCCGCAGCCTAGCAACCCTGCATCCCCACCGTTAGGAGTATTCCTGGGCGTCTGATGATTATCCGAGTCCTGGCACGCCCGAAGCCAACTCCTGCATCGCAGCCCTCGGCTACCAACTTGAACCCTGACCTCAATAATCTGGGGGAATTCGCCCTGGAACGGTCTCAGGCAAGTGCGGAGGCGACAAAGATGAGATGCTAAACTTGAAGTCGACATCGAGTGGACGGCTAACTGGAAGACCCAGCCGCTGGACAAACTTGAACGAGACGACAACACCGGCGCCCGGTGCGAACTCCATCGATCTTGTCCCCGCCTCCAGAGTCCGAAAGAACACTGGCAGTTGACTGGCCCAGCGTCGAATCTCGGTCCAATCGCCGGCCTCATGAATCTCCATTACACACCGGCACCCCATATATTTGCCCTCCTCGGCGATGATCTATTCAATCGAATCGGCCTTGCCTTAATCATTGTTTTCTGCCTTCTTGTTGTCCTCGCATTCTATCTTGCATTTTTCTCCTCCCCAGCGTCGCGCATCAGAGCTCCAGAGCTAGTGGGAGACCCCGAGAGGCAACCTCTTCTGTCTGAGGAAAGTGACGTAGGCCACCAACATTCAACATGAACAGAGACGAAGGCGAACGGCCCGACGTTGGCAGCCTCACTGGAGAGGAGGTGGCTAAACACAATTCGCGCGAGTCTTGCTGGGTGATTGTTCATGGGAAAGCATACGATGTGACAGATTTCTTGCCAGGTATGTACATTCCTCGGTCGTCATTCTCCTGTTTGCTAATGCTGTGAGCAGAACACCCGGGAGGTCCCAAGATCATCCTCAAGTACGCTGGCAAAGATGCGACTGAAGAGTTTGACCCGATCCACCCACCCGACACGTTGGACAAATATTTACCGAAAGATAAGCATTTGGGACCCGTCAACATGGAGACGGTGCAGAAGGAAGAACAAGAAGACTCTCCAGAGGAAAAGGCTAGACAAGAGCGGATTAAAAACATGCCACCATTAGAGGCCTGCTATAACCTGATGGACTTTGAAACTGTTGCCAGACAGGTCATGAAGAGGCCAGCTTGGGCATACTATAGCTCTGGGGCTGATGATGAGATCACTATGCGAGAAAATCATTCCGCTTTCCACAAGATATGGTTCCGGCCAAAGATTCTGGTGGATGTCGAGAAGGTCGACATCAGCACCACCATGCTGGGAACAAAGTGTGATATACCGTTCTATGTCACTGCTACTGCCCTCGGGAAACTTGGTAATCCGGAAGGAGAGGTGGTCCTGACCCGAGGCGCAAAGAAACACAACGTTATCCAGATGATCCCGACTTTGGCCTCTTGCAGTTTTGACGAAATCTGCGATGCGAGAGAAGGCGATCAATGCCAGTGGCTTCAATTGTACGTCAACAAAGACCGAGAAATTACCAGGAAGATTGTTCAACATGCAGAAGCTCGGGGTTGCAAAGGGCTCTTTATCACAGTCGACGCACCTCAACTGGGTCGAAGAGAGAAAGATATGCGAAGCAAATTCGATGATGTGGGCTCTAACGTACAAAACACTACCGGTGACAACGTGGATCGGTCACAAGGCGCGGCGAGAGCAATCTCCAGCTTCATTGACCCCAGCCTCAGCTGGAAGGATATCCCGTGGTTCTTGAGCATCACGAAAATGCCCATCATTCTCAAGGGAGTTCAAAGAGTCGAGGACGTGTTGAGGGCCATCGAGGTAGGAGTACATGGTGTCGTGCTCTCCAACCACGGCGGTCGCCAATTGGACTTTGCTCGATCAGGCATTGAGGTTTTGGCTGAAGTGATGCCCGTCCTCCGGGAGCGCGGTCTGCAAGACAAGATTGAGATATTCATCGATGGTGGTATTCGCAGAGCAACGGATATAATCAAGGCACTGTGTCTAGGTGCCAAGGGCGTGGGTATTGGAAGACCTTTCTTGTTTGCTATGTCTGCTTACGGTCTTCCCGGAGTTGATCGAGCGATGCAGCTGCTGAAGGATGAGATGGTGATGAACATGAGACTGATTGGAGCGTCCAGGGTCGAGGAGCTGACTCCGGACATGGTTGACACGGCTGGACTGAGAGCCCATGTTGCTCCTGTGCCCCAAGATACTTTGGGTGTCCGAGCATATGATCCTTTGATCACTCCCCATGACATGCTGAAGGCACGTCTGTGAAGCTGAGGCTGAAGAGAGGATTGTGGAAGATGTGATCGGCTTTACAGACCGTCGGAATCCACCAGCGTATATAACGTCAGACATGTCGGGTCAAGATAGCCAAAATATGTGTACAAAGGACCGCCATGCGGTGGTGAGTGAAAAGACTTCAAAATATCCGGAACTTGGAAGGAAACACCTGCGTCACTAGTGACATTGGTTTAGGTTGGGTTTTCCTTCACGCTCGCCACTACCTGTTCGCATTGATGCCCAGCACACTGCACTGCATGCCAGTCGCGGTCGTGCAATGGGATGTCTGCGCTTCCGGCAATGTCTCTGTCTCTTGAATATCATGTCGACATCCTTGCAAAGCTTCGCAGACATCCCAGTAAACCGCGAGGCAGTCCAGAATCCAGCACCACCGCCGACTCTGGCCAGCTCCATTTCCAGTTCCAGGCCCAGTCATGCTGCCCACAAGCCCACCGCCCCAATAAAACACTACACCAGCTTAAAGACGATCCACGCCGCAGAGTATCACCGAAAACATGCGGAGCTCAGCAGGAGGCTTGGGTCGCCGATTGTTGACCGCTGTGGGAACAATGATCCTGTTTATCCATCCCACTATGATGGAGAAGCGACGATCGAGTTTGATAAGATGCAGGATATAGAGACTACGCACCGGCTTGTTACGGATGGCCATCTAGATCACTATGACGGCTACCAACGACTCAAGCAGATTGAGACGCGAGCACAACGGTACACGAAAAAGATCCGCGTCCTGGCTTTCGGACCTGCTTGCATGGCAATCAGCTTGTTCGCTTTTAACGCACAGCCTTGGGATCTACTTCCGACCTTTATTCTCGGATGCGTGCTGGGATGGATGCAGCTGGTCGTGGCAACAAAGTCCAGGGCGTTTGCGGACCTGTTCCCTTTTCTCGTGGCCGTTTCCATTACCGTTGCCTCCCTTATCCTGGGCTCAGTGTTCCCGAAGTTTCACTGGACTGCCATTGCTGAGGGTACCATTGCGATCGTCCTACCGTCCTACACCATGTTAGTTGCAACTGGAGAGGTGTTGAAGGGCCAGATCGTTCCTGGCAGCAGCCGTATCGCCAGCGCAGTCTTCTACACCATGATGTTGAGTTTTGGTATCGGCAGTGGCAGAGTGATGTACGACCTTTGCAGCCAAACTCCTTCCAGTGCCATCCCCGGGAGCAATCTTGATGTATGGAGTGGCTTCCTACCGATGAACAAAGTGACAACGGGCGCTGTAAACGTTTTGGCAATATCAGTGTTTACCATCTTCAACTCCATCATACTTCAAGCACGCTGGACGCAACTGCCAGGCATGGTTCTGGTGGCGTCGTCTTTTGTGCTGATCAACCACTGGGTCAATGTCGAAACTGGCATGGAAGGCCCTGTCTTGAACATGGTTGGAGCGTTCTTTTCAAGCCTTCTGGCACAGAACCTTGGGCCTTGGACAAGAGACAGGGTGATTATCTTGGTGACGCCAACGCTGTTTTTCTCGGTTCCGGGTGGTCTGCTGGCTATAGACGGTGGGTATGTGGACTTTTTAAGTGGCGGGAGTGTCTTGGTCGACCTTCGAACAATAATGGCCGTCTTAGAGGCCTCGGTCGGCATCTGGGTCGGGTTGAGGTTGGCATCGTTGTTGAACGATGCCTGGCGAAGTCAAAGGAGATGCCTATGTGGAAGGAGAATATGATGCTGCGCTTCTACCGTTCCGTGACGCTCTGCACCCCATGTCATTGGAAGCCTCTTGTGTAGTGGAAATACTGATCTATATTCGATTGTTTTGAAGGCCTGCATGAGCCAAGCCAGTGGACTTTTGCAAACGATACCACGCAAGCGAGAACTCGTGCAAACTGCTAGGCTTCCATTCCTTCTGCAATCCCACGACTCACGGATATGCATATTGTGACCTCGATTCCCAGTCACATCTCACCTCCTAGTTAGGGTGTAGCTGGTTGCCTACCTTATATGTACCGTAGGTGGCAGGCGGTTGGTGGTTGCTCTCGTGTGTCAGCAATCTGCGTTTGACGAGGCTGAACTTGAACTTTTTATAAGCTTATTATTCTTATTTTATTATGCAGTAGTAATGCGGAGGTGACACTGCACGACTCCGAGAGCTCCTTGGTTATGTCATTGGGTGCCATCATCTTCCGGCAGTCATCTACGATTTGTTGATCCTGAGGACTGCCGGCTGCTTGTTGTTGTCCGTTTTTGATGTCATGTGCAATCGGCAATCAGCCTCTAGACAATTCCTACGATTGAAGTGTCACTGGATAGGATGGCCGGCGTCCTCCTGGCATTTGCGCTCCTCCTTAAATTGAGGTTATCGCCAGCGAACTAAGAAGATTCATGGAGGGTCAGCGTGTGCCACGCAGAAGTCAACAACACCATGCTGCTCCTGCACCAAACAGGCTCCGTCAAGGTTGGAGAGGTCGTGCGGTAGGGAAGACGATGCTGGATATTAGTATCCGACGACAACAGGCTGACAAACCTGAATCATTCATAGATATACTCTGACCTACACGCCCAGCCATGACCGGATCCTGCCGCCGCCGGGACATCTGTATGTCAAGATCAAGAACACGGCCGCGATCCCTCTACGCGCCGCCTACCTCCACGGGCCTTATACACTCTACGTCGCGTGCTATCCTTCGACATTCAATCCTTACAAGAAGCATGTCAGATATAAGGAGGAGGGAGCGCCCGACTTCGAACCGCAGCTCAAGGCCGGAGGCCAATGGTACGCTAGGCTGACTGTCCCTGAGGAGGTGCGGAATGACGCCTACCATGCCAGTCCGGGTGGCCGGAAGGATGTGGACAGAACCGAACGTAAAAGCTTCACTTGGATTATCGAGGTGGCTTCGCAGATCATCTTCTCCAGGACGGCAAGCGTGTCTTTTGATGTGCTCGTCGGCCGCGACGAGAAATCTGTCGAGTTAGGTCTACATGGAGTCATTGGAGCGAACCAGGGATTACCGGGGACGCTGGCCGATCACCACCAGGGCAGTTCAAAAAACGCAGCACAACGCCGGGGCGTGTTTTCCAAGGCCGTCCGGCTGGCGGTCGATGACACCGAAAGCCTATGGAATACTCCTCCCTTCCCGAGTTGGGAGGACGACGGTGATGTCAAGGTGGAGGAGGGCCCTCAACATGGCGACAAACGGGATGCTGCCGCAAAGAAGAACGAGAAACAGCGCCGGCAAAAGAAAATCCATCTGGTACTTCTTACCCATGGTCTCCACAGTAATCTCGGCGCGGATATGCTTTACATGAAAGAAGGTATCGACACTGCAGCCAAGCAAGCACGGGAAGATAGTAAGAAACGGAAGGCAGAAAGACGGCAAGCCCAAGAATCGGCCCAGTCAACGCTGGAAGGAGACGATGGTCGGAGGTCAAATTCGGCACAATTGGATAATGCTTCGGATGATGAAGAGGACGAAGAGCAGGTGATTGTTCGAGGGTACAATGGCAATGCCGTAAGGACGGAACGTGGCATCCAGTACCTGGGCAAACGCTTTGCGAAATACGTCCTTTCGCTCACCTACCCCGACCAGCCTTACCTGCCCGCTAAGAGCGAAAAGGGTAAGAACCTCACAAAGTCTTTCACCGGGTCGAAGCCAACGCCGCAGAGTGGCGCAGAGCCATCACACAAGAACAGCAGTATCATTAAAGATGAGAACCACAGCAAACACAAGCTCCCATACCGCATCACCAGCATCAGCTTCGTCGGCCACTCATTGGGCGGTCTCGTCCAAACTTATGCGATAGCATACATCCAGAAACATTCTCCCGACTTCTTCGACCTCATCAAACCCGTCAACTTCATCGCATTGGCTACTCCTTTCCTGGGCCTGAGCAACGAGAACCCAGTCTACGTTAAGTTTGCTCTGGACTTTGGTCTTGTCGGTAGAACGGGACAGGATCTTGGGCTGACATGGCGCGCCCCGACGCTGGCCAAGAGCGGCTGGGGTGCCGTGATTAGTGGCCTAACAAGCGAAGCACAAAAGGCACATAAGGAGCCTGATCCGGGGGCCAAACCTCTGCTGCGCGTGCTTCCAACAGGTCCGGCGCATGTCGCGCTCAAGAAGTTTCGGAACCGAACAGTCTACTCAAATGTCGTTAATGATGGGATAGTGCCCCTAAGGACGTCATGCCTTCTCTTCCTGGACTGGCGAGGCTTGGGTCGTGTCGAGAAAGCCAGGCGGGAGAATGGCTTGGTGGGCACAATGGTAGAATGGGGTTGGGCCGAAGTGACCGGGCAGAATGTCAGCAAGAAATTATCATGGAGTGCACAACTCAGCGATAGTGGCGACGAGAGTAACAATAATGCAGACAAAACCTCATCGGATCCCGAGTCGAATGTTCCCCAGGCCGAGGCAAGTCAGGGGTTTGACAACGACGAGAGAGCACAACCGAAAGCAAATCAATTCTTACGAAGGTCAACAGACCAGAGTTCCGTACAATCAGGAGATGCAAGTGTCACGACATCGTCTACCGCCCCGAATCTATGGACTGGGTTGTTGAACTTTTTCCGACCTCAAGCTGGTGAACACAAACCAGAGCCGAAGGGGCCCCGGAAGGTGAAAAAGATATACCGACGAGGCCAGACAATGCATCATCAGGATGACAATGGCCAACAAGGCTCGGGCACAGCTACTCCAGACGAGGAAGCACACGATAGTCATGATGATGGGGGCAGCAGTGGCAGGAAAGGTTTGGTTCGAGGTTCTTCTTTGTACACCACCAATTCCAACGAAGGCGAAGTCGAGGCTCCTCCACGAACGTCGTTCTTCGAATCAGCCGGTGATCTTCTCAATCCTCCATTGCCCACGCGTGAATTCATCCTCGATCCTGGGGCGCGGCCGCGAACCATCTGGCACGACCGTGTCTATCATCCGGAAGACATTCCACCTCCGCCAACCAAACGTCAACGCACATTCATGTTGAAACGGGCCGGCTCTCAAAGCCAACCAGATCTGGCGAATGATTCTTTGCATCCCGAGCAAAGTAGCCAGTCATCCGGACAGAGCCAAAGCCAAGCAGTCGGGACCATGAAAATCGAAGAAAAGATTGCACGAGCCTACCACAAGGACTTGTCGTGGAGAAAAGTTCTGGTGCGTCTGGAACCCGATGCGCATAACAATATCATTGTACGCCGGATGTTTGCCAACGCTTATGGATGGCCCGTGGTCAAGCATGTGTGCGACACTCACTTTGCGTTTACAGCATCGGCTCAGACGCGGGACGAGGACGAACCGAGTACGGAGCGAGTCAAACTCAGAAGCCATGCTGTCCAGCCTGGAGGAGAGCAGGTCGAAGGGCAAACGAAACAGCCAGCCGAGCAGGACGAGAAGGAGCAGCAGCCGCACGCACCAAACGATCATGATGATGATGATCATGGACAACCGCTTGTCAGGTCACCAACTGCCGAGGCAGAGGATGTAGTCGTCACAGCCGCAAGCCCAAGTAGAGAAGCTGACGCCCGTGAAGAGCTACAAAGACAAAAGCTACACACCGGCTGGCAAACGCGCCAGCGATCTGTTCGCACCGAATCTGAAAGCCGAGAGTCGCGCGACGACGTGTCGGAACTGGTGTCGAAAATCAGCGTCGGAGGCGAAAGCAGCTATCACAGCATGAACTCGGGTAAAGCCGCATTGGCCCGCCTAGCTAGACAGGACAGTGCAAGATGGAGCGACCGGTTCTTTGAGGGCAGCGACGAGGGCGAGGACGAAGGAGACGATGATTCCGTGCTTGCGAATGAGATTCGCAGGGCTCGAGCCAGAGCTGAATTGGACAAGCTGAGTGTTGAAAGTTATGATGATGATGTTGACCATGATGGGCAAGACCAAGAGCACCAAGCGACGACGACAAGCGCTAGAATCGCAGCTGCGTTGACGGCGAGTCCACAGAGTACGAAACTCGTGCCGTCTAGCAAGAAACAAGAGGCGGACGACAGTTATGCCGCTGGTCAGGGTCAGGGTGTTGGCCACAACAATAGAATCACTGAACCAGAAGAGGCCCCGTTGACCGCTGAACCGGCTGAACTCGAACCTCTGTCTCATTCTCATTCTCATTCTCCTTCAGGCACTAGCACCAGCACACTACCCGAGCAGGGGCACTGGCATGGGCACCAAGATCATGATGTCGAAGAATCCGACTTGGGTGGTACGTCGACCGGCTCTCCCTCGCCCGGTACCGCTACTGCAGGGTCAGCGTTGGGATTAGCACTCGCGGACCATGTGACTCCAGACGAGCGATTACAGCGGATGGCTTTGCAAGAAGGCGGACCTAGTACCAGTCCGACTTCTGCGAGCGGTGGTGGTCCGGACAGGGACGGTCATGGTGTGCCAGTGGGTATAGTTGAACAAGTCGCCCGGGTACGGAGTAAGGAGCAGCAGCAATAGCGACTACACCAGCATCAATGGCATGCAAGATTGATGGCGAGGATGCACAACATCCGGGCAGGTTAGACGGCGATTGATTAGTAGGTGTCTGTACGAGTAGTATATAGTAGTAAATAATGCAGCAGTGTCTTGGAATCGAGCAACAGACGTCCAGTATTTCGCTTCAAGATTATAGTTCCCTTGTTGTCCTCCTTGTCGGGGATACTAGTACTTCACAGTTTGTGCTGTTACAGCTTTTCGAAAAATAATACCCACACAGACGCCGTCAATGTCATCGAACGCCTGCCATGAAATACTATGATCTGAGTGTAGGGGAGACAAGACGCCCGATAAACATTAAAATCCAATCCTAATTATCTTGTCTTTGCGGGAGCAGAATCTGACTGAAATACTTGCCAACATTCTCAATCTCATCCAGCTCGCAAAGGTAAGACACATGTTGATCTGGGCGGACGACCGCGACGCAGCCTCTCGTCTTGTCCACGCCCCACTCTTCGTAGGCGTCGCTGAACTCGCCTTCTTCTCCTCGGTTGTTGTTTGAAAAACACTTCCAGTAATCGTGTCCGAGCTTAGGGTCGAACGGATGTAGGATTTCTGGGAGATCTGAAAACTCGACCTTGTCACGCGGCGTGGCATGGATGGTCAACACCTCGATGATGGAGTCGATCTTTTGGCTTTCGGGAGTATAAGTGTGTATGAACGAAGACGGGCTGGCGAGGTAGTCGGAAACACCTTTCAAGCGAGCCATTTGTGCAGGCTGGCTGATGTCGCCGGCCAAGAGCAGGACACGCCAGCGGCCGTCAGACTTCAGCATTGAATGAACGTGTACAGTGTTGGCTTCCGCAATGTTCATCACCAGATGCGAGGGGATACGCTGACCGACGATCATGTTGCGGGCCAGCGATTGCTTCGACCAAAGCTTTGGCCGCTGTTTTCCTTCTTTGAGGAAGCCATTCTGGACGTGGGACGTCAAATCCCCGTCCTCCTTTTCCAGAGTCGGAGGAACCAGGATGTTTGGTCCATATTTTACACTGACACCGCTGAGAAAAGTGCGGAACTCTTCGCGGAATTTGCGGTAGTTGTGTGCATCTTCGCTCGGCCCTTCACAGTAGAATTGGCTCATCCTGCGATCCATTTCCATAAGCTCCGCAGCAACTTTCTGCCGTTCGCCGTTGTATGTGTTGAGAATGCGTGGTTGTGCTATACCGTTGACCACCTGGCCAATTTTCCATACCAGGTTGTATGTATCTTGCATGGACACATTCATACCTGCACCCATGGTGGGCGAATGAGTATGGACGGCGTCGCCGGCGAGGAAGACTCGATTATCCACGTCGAAGTTTGATGCGTATTGCTGTCCTACCGTGTATACTGACCACCAATCACAGTAGTCGTACTCCAGCTTATAGGGGCTTAGAATTCTCGATGCGGTTTGGACAATCATGTCAGGGGTAATCTTGCTCTTGTCAAATTCTTCGCCGTTGCTGGTCTCGGCAAATTGGACATAGAATCTGACAAGTCGGCCTTCCCGAGGAAATGTCATCACACTGCCATCCTTCGCTGAATGTATAGAACATGAGATGCGCGCGTCCGCTGCCGTCATTAGCCCAGTTCGCACATTGACAGGAGGGTGCGGCGAGCTTACGAAAATCAGTTATGGGGATGATATCAATGACGCCAAAGTGCTTCTCCGTTCTGTCACCAGTCATCTTCAGGCCGAGTTGTCGCCTGGTCCAGCTATGGGCGCCATCCGTGCCCAATAGATATTTTGACTTGATAGTCTCTTCCTGCATAGAATCCGCTAACAGGGTCAGCCTATGATAAGTGCTGGGGTGCAAGAACTCTTACCGAATGCATCCGGTGAACTCCCCTTATTGGCAGCATCTCCACGACGGAGGCGTAAAGCCACTGGATAAGCATGAGGGTCTGTTGCGATAGCCTGGTCAAGCTCAAGAGATTTCGTTTCAATGCATCGTTCCACTTGAACACAGCCTTCTTTTTTCAACAAACTGATAAATCTCTGCTCTATAAACCCTTGGTGAATACCTAACTGATGGTACCGACCAAGCTCTTCCTCCTTGGACAACACACGCTGAGTCCGTCGAATTCTGTTTTCGTCCTCAGGATCGGGATTCTTGCATGGTGTTAGCATCGGTCATGAACTCAGCAGAGGACAGACATTGGTACCCATGCACATATTTCTCGCAGTTTATAGGCTTCTTGCTCGATCGAAATAGCCAAGCCGAAACTATCCAGTATCTCCATAGTTCGAACATGAAGTCCGTCAGCACGGCCATTCTGGACTCTGTCGGCTTTGTCGTCCAGGATTCGTGCTTTCAATCTGAGACGACTTGCCCAGGCTGCCGCCATAAGCCCGGCTGGCCCGGCCCCGATAATGACCAAGTCGGCATAGGATGTTTTGGGTCCCATGGTGTATACGCGAGAGGCCTTCAGAGCGATGTTGTGACGTTGTTCCTAGGCGCACCACACTTGTACGTGATTGGTCCAATATCAGACTCCTTTGCTTCTATCGGCAATCGTGCATCCAGGCGCTCTTAGTGCTCTGTGGCCATTGTGTGATGTTATGCATGTTTCAAGTAAGCACTGGAGTGGTATGAGTCGTGTTTGTGCTATAGGGAAAGTCTCATGCTTTGCTATATGACTTGGTTAATTGTGAGTATGCCGTCCAATAACTTAAGATTTGGAAAAGGTCACGGAGCACAATCTGGGAGGATCTCGGGGACGGAACAAACAATCGATTACCTTGACGTCGTACATGGATGACCGCCTTCTTACCTGGTAGGTGCCTAGCACAGTGTAGCGTGTAGAACCAGTAAATAGTGACGCATGGTCTCACTTAATAAATGTGCGGCGGCCGGGTCCTTGCTCCGTGGACTGCTCCGTTATGGACATTGTGGCGCGTTCTATTGTCGGCACTGGCCCTCCAGATGATTCAAGCTACCACGAAAGATTGCCTCGAACGCATTGCGGTTGGAGATTTCGCCGGTACAACCTGTATATCATTGTTCTTCTGAGCAGAGCACACTGCCAGTTGTACACTGTATAGTGCATCACACAATGTTGTGGTACGAATGGATTGGTTACATGTTGTGCAGCGAAGGTCGCGCCTTCCTGCAGCACAATGACTGGACGTTGGTGGTGGTGGCTGCCGTTTTGGCCAGAACTGCGCGCCTGACGTCACCCGTGATTGGAGTCTCCACGTGACATCACCTGAATTCTCCGGATTTGACTTGTGTGGGGCAACCACGACCCTGGTTGCAGTGTTGTTGACGCTTCAGGCCACTTCAGGCCAGTCCTGACACCCTCCACTGCACGTTTGTCCATGGACTGCAGTGTCAGAATCCCATGCAGTGTCGCGCATTATTGTTTGTATTATTATTACCGTCTGCATCCGATCTATCAATAGTCGTCTTTCGCCGACTCGGCCGAGGCCATACCACTGGCAATCGAACTACTAAACACCCTGTACGTCATGTCAGAACCCAACTCGGGCCTTCTACTTCCAACCTGAACCGTTCCAAGAACCAGCCTCGATGGAATTTGTATCCGGGCTCAAGCTCAAGAGTTCCACCCTTTTTGGAGCGGTCCGAGTAGCGGACAGTTTTGCTGCCTCGAGCCGCACATGTTATTGGCCGGGGGTTGCTTCCCTGCAGTAAAGAGGCACTGTCGTTCCACTAAACGACGAGAATAAGTCGTGATCGCAAGGTCATGGATCGGGGTTACACAATATGCCACCCACTGCCACATCTGCCTCGAATGCCACATGTCCGTCGTCACCCCAGACCGGTACTTATCTCAGTACCTGGGTTTCCCTCCAGGCTATATATCATCCCCGCCTCCCCGATGGTGCGTGCGTGGGTACCGTCTGTCTTTCTGTTCCGGGCAGCCTAGATACAATCCAATCTGAAGCTTCTTGATCAGCCCGTTCGACGTGTGCCCTCCGCCCTCCATATCCTCCATCTTCCCGTGCATACACCTACGTGACACAGGATGGGTTCGTATGACACGCGCAACGAGCTGTCCGCAGTAGATGTGATCGACATCCAATCGGACGCGGAAAAGATCTCCTTGTCCAAAGACACCCAAAATTCACTGAAATCAGAGCCCCCTAGCTTTTCCTCTCTGCTGCTATGGGACGAGCAGGGCCTGAAACGCTTCGAAGCCATCACTTACGTCCCTGAATACTACCCGACCAATTGCGAAATCGAGCTCCTGGAAAAGCACAGCCATGACATAGCGCAGAGGATTGAGCCGAACTCAATCATTGTGGAATTGGGCAGTGGATGTTTGCGCAAGATCAAGATCTTACTAGAAGCGCTGGAGGCAATTGGCAAACCTGTGGACTACTACGCACTTGATCTCTCCCGCTCAGAGCTTGAGCGGACGTTGCAATCGGTGTCTCCTGGCAGCTTTAAGAACGTGAAGTGGCATGGATTACTCGGGACCTACGATGACGGGCTGAGGTGGCTACAAAGGCCTGAAAATGCCTCCAGCCCCAGGGTTGTGCTCTCCCTGGGGTCGACTTTGGGAAGCTTCACCCGCCCAGAAGCGGCGGAATTCTTGGCTGGCTTTGTCGATGTCCTAAATCATGGAACTTCTGCAAGTGAGCCTTTGGTCATCATTGGCCTAGACGGTTGCAAGGACGGTGAAAAGGTATGGCATGCCTACAATGACTCGGAGAATCGAAACGAAGAGTTTATAAGGAATGTACTGGACCACGCAAACCGCATTCTCCGCAAAGACGTATTTCGTCAGGAGGAATGGGAACGACGAGGCGAGTGGAACGACAAACGGGGGAGACACGAGCAGTATCTTGTGCCCCACAAAGATGTCTGGTTTCAGGGCCGCTGCCTGAAGGCGGGCGAAAAGATCTTTGTGGTTTCAAGCCATAAATACGACACCACAGAGCGAAAACAGTTATGGGAGGGTGCGGGACTTAGCGAGCTCAAGGGGTGGCAGACTCCTGAACAGCATTATGGTGAGTGCTTTCGATTCTGTACCTTCTGCAACGGTAACTGACTTCGGTGCAGGACTCTATATCCTATCTACACGACCTGCAAACTGAGGCCGAGCATTGAACCTGTTCATACCATATCATTGCGCAAAGACCAGAGACGAGTCTCGTGCAGCGTAGATCTTGGACGAGGAAGCCTTTATGCTTAAAGGGCTCCTGGATCACTGGACTTCTGCGTAGCATCAAGTTATCAAGAGGTCGGACGATGACTTCCACCTTCAGTTACCAATACAGATATCCTACCAGGCTCAGTGCGAGAGCATATCACCTCGGGAGCTCTACTTTGACTACATACCCATTCTGGATACAATGAGCTGCGATGCCTTTGTCTACGGGAAACTCGAGCTACATGATTTTCTTCCCCTCGGCGAGAGGAGGATACAGACGGCTCACATGTTTCCGGTCAGAGAGCGCCACGCTCCTCTTCATCAGCAGATCAAGGTCTGTACTGTGCATACGATCTCCACAATACCTCGTCGTCCGGCGCCTTTCCTTCCACGTTCTGACTACGTTACACGGAAGCAGCCATCTTCCAGCGCGAGTGATCATGAGTCGGTGGCCAGCTCCGCTACTTGAATGAGATGATGATCTTCTCACTAGGTAGTTGGCTTGCTACTGCCTCAAATCCGCCACATCAGCAAATTTGCATTTCTATGAACGGCAGGCCGCCATTTCATTGACTCTGTCCTAGTACATCCGGAGTCCGGATGATAAGGGCGGGAAGTCGCCGGCACTTTCGTGTTTCCAACCTGGCTGAGGAGACAGCGAGCTCAAGCGAGAATGGAAGTCCACACGCGCACGACTGAGCTCAGCATTGGGGAGCAGGTTACCAGGATGCTTATGTAGGAAGTGAGAAGGTTGATTTCTTCGAAGGTCTCACCGGCATTGGCATGATTATGATGTCGATGGGAACCTGGTGCTGTTGTTCGAGTATGAACATGGGCGAGCTGCAGACACCCGGGCTCGACTGGCACCAGGCTGCTACTTTTAAGCATTCAATTCTCCTTTGCTTGTCTCCCGCGACACTGGTGGTTTCCCGTGGGAATCAAGACAGGGATCGCCCATACCACCTAAGGCCCACTTCACAAGGAAATCAGGATATAGGCATCTTGCTGATATAACAGTCCCTGGCAAACATCATTTCACTTCAAAATCTTTAATTTCGGGGTCTGTGCTCAACCAATTTTGAGACGATCGTCGTTCTCCCTTCACTATATCTTTACAGTTCACTCTTTCGTTGTTTCTTTTCTACTTCAGAGGGACTCCTTCTCGTCCTCCGTCTCGCCCTCCCTCTTCGGTCTTCCCCTTCCTCGTCGCTCTTCCTCTTCCCTCTTTCCCTCTTCGCTTTTCTTCTTCTTCCTCTTCACTCTTCTTCTTCGCTCCTCCTCCTCTTCTTATTCTTCTTCTTCCTCTTCATCTTCCTGTCCTTTTCCCATCTTTTTTAATACTGGACACCTTTTATCTCAGGCCTATCTGCATCCGAGACTGCCCTATCCATTGAACAGATAAGGCAACCATGGATCAACAGGAGATACAACTTTTTCACAATCTCCTCTACGAGCTCATTGTTACCCTCAAAGAGCCAGAGCTTGGCGGGTTGAATGCAGACATCGCGGTCGACATCGTCTTGGAAATGGAACGACGTCTGAGAAATCATCATTCACAGCAAGAACGCCATGGACTAGAGCTGGAAGAAGCAAAAACAAGAGTTGCCGAGAAGAGCAAACAGTTGGCAGAGGTCCGGCGTCTGAAGCGGGCTCGGAGCCACATCAACAACCAGTTGAAAGCCCTGCTTGGCCCTCAATCTAGCGACAACAACAGCAACTTGTCCGCTGGGGGCAAAGGCACTGCTAAGACTGGACTGACTCACAAGAGGGGTGCCAGCTGGCTTGAAAACCCCAGTTCGAGAGACGATGAACGCTCATACAGGAAGAAGTACAAACAGCAATCACCAACTATCAAGATGGAAGATGCACCTGAAGCAGGCCCAGTTCGGAAGAAGGGCAAAATGGAACCGCCACCTGTGAAAAGGGAAAATGTACCTGGAACAGATCCAGCTCCGGAGAGTCCCAGCGCCCACTGTCTTGCTTGCAGTCACACATGGAAACAGCGCCCACCACGCAGCCTGATCTGCCCACATTGCAACAGTGATTTTGTAATCCTGGTAAGTGTCAACTTACTTTGACCCATTACATGTACACAGACTAACAGGCGGAAGTTGTTTGACCCATGGCAGTCGGAGGATCGTGGCTCTGCCTACAGGTCTTCCGCACCGCGCACAAAGGACTGAGCGTCCACCCCGGATCTGGCTCTCCTGATATGCTTAGCGCAGATCGACTTCAACCAAGTCATTGAAAGCTTCAGACAGTGGTACCTCCACACGACCCCAAGATCACGATCTGAGGACCAACTTCTCCGCCTTTCTTAGCAGAGGATCTACCCGGGCTATATCAGGCTGCATCTGTGAGAGTATTCGAGGGCAGTCCAAGTGAGAATTGAGAGATCCATTTTCCGGAAGAGTATCAATCAGAACGAAGCTGAGTTGAAGGAGGAGACAGCACACTAAAAAAGACTCAGTCAACGGGACAGTCTCCTTCATTCGAGCTGAGAGCTGATCTGAGAAATTTTGAAGCTCGGACTTGTCACTTTTAGCATCGTACCTGCTGCTACTGAGCCGGGGTTTTGTCTCACGTAGCACATGAGGCTCTTTTCCGAACAACATGGAGGTTGACTTGGAAAGGGCGAAGCCAGAAAGGGGTTTTATGCAGTTTTCCATCCGAAAATCTCCATCAGCATTGATGACTTCTTCCCTTCCAGGACTCTTTGGACCGTGTTTCCCTTCGCACAGAAGCAAATACCAAAGTTCTGCGACTTACTAGTAATGCAAAGCTTTGAAATTCTGTCACAGTGGCGCCAGGGGATTCGAGTCATATGAGCCACCTGCACTAATGTCTAACCAATGCCAATCTGGAAACAGATGTTTATCTGCTTCCTGCAAACAATGGGAAGCAGAACAAACATAACAGCCTCTATGCGACAACTATCGCATCACTTTCCGACTCACCTCACTTTCACTTTCACTTTTCCGTTACGGCGAGTTAGTAGAGTGTGTGCCTCAGTGCAAGTTCTATATATTCTTAAAGCAAATTCACTAACCTATCTTGAATATCACTCGCGACAAGACACGAACCTTCACTAGACTTACTATATCAACTCCCACCCATCTCGCGCGCTTCTGGCTTTTCAACACTCTTCTCTTCCCACCACCTTACGCGGCGCCTTTAGCTTTTCAACATTTCTTCTTCTGCTATCCTGATCAAAGACGCGGTTCCTTGATCAATCACTATGGCGACTGACACTGTCAAGTTCACAGTGGAAGAGTCAGGAAGACTTGTCCACAATAGTGCAGTCCTTGTCGGACTCTTGGCCGAGGAAGCTGAGCAATTCGCTCACTTTCAAAAGCGAGTGTCAACTATCATGTCCAAGCTCTCCTCCGACGCCATACACCGCCAACCCGAGTACATTGACGAAGCCCACATCGACCTCGCCAAGCTCAGGCTCTGGGTAGAAGGTCAAAAAGAATTCAAGACCTTGGCCGGAAACTACCTGGATGCAGCCAAGTTGCTCATTGGTCCTCCGCTCCCGGAAGCCAAGCCAGCAGAAGACGGAGAATTGAAAGGAGAGGAGGCGTGCGCTCTTGCCACGTCCAATGTTAGTGGCATTGGTAATGGGATCAAAGATGCCGCAGGCCCAGGCTCATTCGCAGACAAAAAGGGCAAGTTCTTTGCAAGAGCTGAAGAGCTGCTTGCCGAGCTTGCGATATTGGTGAAGAAAATGCGGTCCATCATGTATGAGGAAAATGAGGATGCTGCTGTTAACGGTACCGCTGCGATTGGTGCTGCTATGAATGGTACTACTTCTGCTGGCGCCGCTGCTGAGGCTATCACTGCTGAGGGAACCACTGCTGACGCTGCCACTGCTGAGGCCACCGCCGCTGATACTACCGCCGCTTATGCCCCCATCACTTGAACCTCTGCAACTGCGAAAGATGCTTCAGACACCACGGATACCGCTCAAAAGGATCATTCTGCTGCCACGACTTCGGAGAATGGTAAACCTGCTGTCATCGAAGACACCAACGAAAGCGTTGAAAAACAACCGAGCAAACGTCAACGGTTGGGCTAGTTTCCATGATCAAGCACACACTCGCGATTCGGATCCCGACTGCAACGGCCACAACATCACCAATACTCCGGAGACCATCTGCACGCGTTGAATCAGCTATGGCTAGGGACCTAGGGCATTAAACGGATACCAATGCGGGTTGTCAAGAATCGCAAGAGAACCAAACGATGCGACTGCCTTTTCTCAAATCAAAGTCACGCAAGGGGCATTGCCAACAACTACTTCACTTTCCGCAAATGCAGTGCCGCAAAGATGATCATTGACGATGCCGACTGGGTGAGCTAGGAGGCTTCCTAGTACTACTAGGTACTGCAGGTAGGAAGGAAAATTAATGCCACAAACAATAATCTTCTCCCTACAGTAGCACTGCAGACTCACATTTCTTTGCTGTTCTTGTGTCTTTTTGGTGTAGAGCTAATGGACACACGAACTCAGAAACAGGTCATCAGTAATGTGAACTATGTGAATTTCGTTCGTGGACTGCACTGGCACTGTGCTGGCATTGCGACACGCTGCCATGCCGTGGCTCTCTTGGAATGCGGTCTGCAGAACCCCTGTGACAAAATGGGCACCCTACGTGCCAAGCATTGTAAAGACGTCGGGACCCGTCTTTCAGTCTCGACTAGCGTCGTACGCTATCGTACAACCTCTAGAAAGTATATAGTCTAACGAGGCCCTAGGCCCCGTTAAAATAGAATAAGTTCTCTATAGAATTATATTTAGTAGCGGCGACGAGATAGTTCTCTACCTTAAACTAGAGTCCGTAAGGACTTCTACGCTCTCTTAAGGAGAAGAGAAGCGTAGTTAATCGCTAAGAAGATCGATACTCTTCTATACGAAGTCGATTAAAGATAAACGAAACCGCCTCGATATATAGCGAAACTAATCGATAAGGAAATCTTCTAGCTCGAAGCTCGTCTTCTATACTCGACGAACCTCTTCTAGTTTTATAGCGAAGACTTACGAGAATTATACTCTTAGAACGACGAGTAGCGATAAAAATTTCTTATCGAGAAAGGTAAATTATAGTAGTAAGTAGTAACTTCTCTTCCTAAAAATTTTAGTCTCGCTACCTTTAGATACTCTTAGCTATAAACGATAGCTAGCGATATAACTAAGATATAGTAGTAACGACTACTTCGACGTTCTCGATTACGTTCTATTAGCCTAAATACTACGAATAACGATATCGTTAAGAGACTCGACGTATTAATAGAGAAAGAAATATTACTACTAGAACGAACTCTTTATTAGAACTTCGTTTAAACTATACTAGTAGAAACTAGATAGTTATCTAGATCTATCTAGATCTACTCGTATTATTATAGACGATAGAAAATAATAGATTAATTAAAGAAAGGCGTATAGTAAGGTCTCTCGAGAGATAGAGTACTATTTAGCTAGAGATAGTCTCGAATATCGAGAGCTAATTATAAAGCGCTCTCGCTAAATAAGGTAGAAGCTTCTATAAAGAATATATTCTTCTCGAGATTACTTATCTTTCTTCTATCGTATATTATCTTCCGCTCGTTTCTTACTCGTATTTTATAAACTACGCCTAGAAGCTCTTTTATACTAAATATCGTATAAATATTCTCTTAACTCTAGTAATAGTAGTATTAGAGATTAATATCTCTATAGAAGAAGCTAATTTATAGAGAATATATAGACTTCTAGAAGAGAATCGCTTTAGAAATCTAGAAAGAACTATAGCGGCTCTTACCGATTATCTACGATACTATAGAACTCTCGAAATCTTCGCTTTAATATCTACGAACGGTCTATCGAGAATTACCCTCTTATCTATAAATTAGACGAACGTATCTAGACTTTTATTTAGATAGTAGTATTTATCGTTAGATCTATTCTAAGATATTAGCGGAATAGAGCTCGAAAAGCCTTTAAAATATAAGAGTTATCGAAATAATAACGCGATACGAGTCTAGCTAATCTATATTAAAAGGTAGTTAGACGTAAAGAAAGTCGTTAATAAATATTCTCTAACGAGCCGCGAACGTATCGCTTTAATAACTTTTTATCTTAAAGATAATATCTTAATATAATAGAATCTTATATACTAAAATATAAAATATAGTCTCGGAATCGATCTACTTCTAATTAACTAGAAGATATAGAAGAAAGTATTCTAGATAGCGTTCGGCGACGTTAGGACGTAGAAGTAATATCGAGACGAGTTCGACTCTCTTAAGTAAATAGAAATAGTATAAAAGTTTCGATAAGAGATCGAAACTCTTCGGCTATATCTCGATCCTCGCTCTAGCGACGCCGAATATCTACTCGTTTTTAAACGAGAACTTAGAACGACTATTCGAAATTAAATAAAACTTCTTCTAGATACTATACTTCTCTAAAATTATAGAGATTACGTTCTTTTTATAAATAAAAGCGAAAGAGAGATATAAACTAACGTATATAGAATAGCCCCTCTTTAAGGTCGCTTAAGAAGATTTTTCTCGAGAAAATCTTCTTAATCTTCTCGAATTATCTAACTAGATCGTAAGAACGCTAATAGTAATATTAAGATAGCCCTTAACGGCCTTCGACTAGAATTCTTCTTATCTACTAAGACTAAAATCTCGCGTAGTCGTAGAAACGGACGTAGATCTTTAAATAGCTTTCGTTAAAAGTATTAAGATAATAGTCTCTACTTTAATTATAGAGAAGCTAACTATTAAAAGAAAGATTATCCTAATCCGAAGAAGCCTATAAGATAAGACTATTAAGGAAAAGAGAAGAGTCGCTAGATAGTAGAGTATCTAGCGACGATAAAGAAGTTATAGACTCTTCGAAGATTATCGATACGAGTCTATTAAATCCTAATCTCTCTTTCGATAATCTAATAGATATCGCTATTAATATAACTAAAGTCTTCGATTATAACTTAGACCGTATCTAGGGATATAATATCGCTAGTAGATCGCTAGAATAGTATAGTAACTCTTACTCTATTACGGTTCTTCTTAATACGAGCTCCGATATCTTTTACGTCTTAAGAAGAGTCGCTAAGCGACTAGATAAGGACTATAAAATTATCTAAGAGTTATCTCTTTAAGTACGTCTTACTAATAGTAAGACGACTCTCTCTAATTAAACTATTATAACGAGTTTAACCGTCGATAACTTTCGAGCTCGAACGATATTCCGTATCTTAGATTAGAATACGTATAATATTATTCTTAGACTTAACTAGCTAAAGAAGTATAGCGCTTTCTAGGATTTTAATTACTTACGTATAACGGTACGTAATAGGACTAGGAAATTAACTTCGATACCTCTTCGACCCTTTCGAACTATTAACTATAAAGATATCGAAGAGGCCGGATTAAATCTACTTAGCTTTCGAAAGACTTAGAAGACGATTTCTAAACTATCTATATTCGACTAGACTTCTATCTTATATCTTATACGAGAATAAAGTCCTAGCGATAAAGTAACTTCTTTAATATCTAGAACTAAGAATAGGCGTTTTAGGCGTATTCTCGAAAGATTTAAAATAGTATTTCGAGAAGAACTATCTATTAAGTTTCTAACGAAGCGGAACGTTAAGTATAAAATCGATATAAGCGATACTAAGTCTATTAATTTACTCTACTACTCTTTATCGAAAGAATATTAAGATAAATAAGATAGATAAATTCGTATCTTACTAGAATAAAATCTAATTCGGCTCTTAGAAAGTCTATAGAGCTTCTCTATACTCTTTATACCTAAATCTAGAGATAAATAGCGTATATATATCGACTATCGTCTTCTTAATAATACTACCGTTAAGGATATCTATCTCTTATCTCGAATCTAGAACTATCTTAATACTATCGAAGCCGCTTAATAGCTCTCGAAGACCAATCTTATCTAAGAATACTACTAGATCTAGATAAGAAAAATATTTATCGAAAAGACCGCCTTTAATACGCGATCCGATAAGTATAAGTTCTTAGCTATACTATTTAGACTTACTAACGTCTCTTCGACGTTCTAGAGAATTATAAATAACGCTCTACGAGAATTTATTAGTAAGTTCGTAATCGTCTACTTAGACGATATCGTTATCTACTCGTAGACTAAAGAAGATTACGAACGCTATCTTAAACTAGTATTTCGAGTATTATACGACTATAAACTATACGTAAAGTCGTCGAAGTATATTATCGGCGTCTAATAGCTTAAATTCTACGAGTATATAGTAGATAATAGAGAGTATCGACCTACGTCTATAAAGATATAAGCTATTCTCGAATAGCCTTAGCCTCGAAACGTATATAAAGTATATTAATTTCTAGATTTAGCTTTCTACTATCGAAGATTTATTAAAGACTTTATAAAGATTACTATATTTCTATTCGATTTATTAATCGAGATAGATATCGAGCTTTAAAAAAAGAAGTTCCGATCTATTCGATAGAATATAAGATACGAATACGCCTTCTAAATACTTAAGAAGACTCTCGCTACTAAACTAGTTTTATAATAAGTCGATAAATCGAAGCCTTTTCGCGTAGAAATAGACTACTTCGAGTAGACTTTAGGTTATATTCTTCTATAAGAAGAATCTAATAGAAAGTAGTATCTAATCGCCTACGATAGGCGGAAACTTAATAAGGCCGAGCTAAACTATTCTATATATAAAAAGAAGCTTCTCGCTATTAAGTACGCTCTTCGAACCTAGATTATATATCTCTAGAATAGCTATAAGACGGTCGTCGTAACCGATTATAAAAGCCTAAAATATCTAAATACTACTCGGACGCCTTCGAAGCGCCTTACGCGATAAATCGATAAGTTTTCTAAGTTTAACTTAAATATCTAATATCGTAAAGGCTCCG